ACCAATACATCTTTCTCGTTCAACAGTCCAACTTTTTTTTCCCTATTTTATCCTGCTGACCAATACATCTTTCTCGTTCAACAGTCCAACTTTTTAATGAGTTTTCAACGCAAGAAATCACAAAATTCGGCCAACTCTCAGAAACAGCCGACAGAGGTAAATACAAATGAATGATAAGCTTCCTACTCATTGAAGATTTTTTTTCATTAATCATAAATAATCATCAGCATTGCTTGGGTACTGAATGAAATGCTGCATTGGTTTCATTTCAGGACGAGGATGTTTATGCTGAAAGAATGCGAATTGCTCAGTTGAATAAAGAACAGAGTAGCAAACAGGCTGTAGTGATGAAGGATCTTACCAAGGTACATTTTTTACGGTTAGATCCCTTAATTCCCTTGTCCTTACTCTGGGTTCCAGTCATTATTTATTCTCGCTCAGGCGTTTGCTTTTAGGTACCCTCTGTTATGTGAGCCAAACGGGGGAAACGGTTAAAGGAGCTTCTCCCTTTATAAACGATAAGATTTACCTACTCCCCCTCTTCCATACCCATCCACTACCATCACGTACGTCGATCCCATTTTATTCACTGAAATATTCATTATTCCACTTTCCCCAGATTTACAGAGGTTCAAACATGGTCGCTGTTAATCATCTTAATCTTGGAATACCCAGAGGAGAGTGCTTCGGTCTTCTTGGAGTCAACGGTAAGTGCATGGTCTATGAGTTTATCCACTCATCCACTTTCATGGGGTTTACCAACATAAAGTTAGAAATAGAGGGAATGATCATTTTTGGGACTCGACACGCAAAGCTTGCGTACTTTCCAAGGCGGCTGAAATATGCACGTTAATAGGCCATTTGCAACAAACAGTCACGTGTTGATATATCACTTTGATAACGAATCAATTCAGCCAAAGGTCCCGAAAGTAAGGGGGAAAAGGTATATTGGAAAAATGGTTTTGGCTATGACATTAGTAATACAGCAATGAAAAGGTTCTTCAACTAAAGGAAGTTTGAATTTTCTTTTTTTTCTTTTCTTTCCTTCTTTTTTTTTCTTTTTTTTTTGCCATCCAGTAACAGTCATGTGATTACGTCCTGGAAATGTTAGACGTTAAAAGAAAATGAGGTCAAAAATTGTGTGTGTGCGAGCGAAGGGGAGTAATAAATAGAACAAGTTTCTTTAATCCAAACATGTTTCGGCGCACATACCGCCAACATCAGTGGATGTTAATGATGTAATGAATGTATAACCTAGATTATATATAGTTAATAAGAGCACGTGAGAATTTGGTGCCTAATATAGAATAGAAAAGAGGAGTTACCAAAGGGGAGTTATAAGCCTCCTGTCCCCGCCCTTCTCGACTCCCGATTCTAGATACTCAACATTTGGTTTATACTTTATGTATAGGTGCTGGTAAAACAAGCACATTTAGCATGCTCACTGGTGATCAAAGTATCTCTGATGGAACAGCTTTTCTTGATGGTTATGACATTCAGACCCATCTCAAACAAGTAAGCAGGAACTGAGGAGTTTCTATTTGCTCTTGTGTTATCGTCCATTTTGAAGTCGAGGAAAAACTGGGTCGGGTTGATGTCAATGCAATGCCTCGGAAGCTGTTTTAGGGGATATTCCATGTGATTATCATATTTCCAAGATGGCGTCTATTCCGTCCCCTAAAACAGACCCACAATGCAATGCAATGTCAACTCTACTCAGTTTTTACTCAAAGTCAGAATGGCGAATACTGATCTGTTCGCAGTCTATTGATTGTGTTTTTTATAGTGCACTAAGTATGTGTTGTGTTTATTTTAAGGTCCAGCAACGCATAGGATATTGTCCACAGGTAAGTTGTATGTTTATTGTTAGCTTTAGGATTATTATCGATCTTTGCAGCAGGATTGATATTACCTAGCTATTTCAACAGTATAGGCTGATATGAATTGGGTAAAGCAAGGCAGTGCTGCTTGATAATGATAAATGCTTGATTATGATGATGATAATAAAGATGATAAAGATGATAAAGGTGATGATATGACGAGGAGGAGGAGGAGGAGGAGGAGGAGGAGGACGACGACGACGATGATGATGATGAGGTCACTGACGACCAGGTTGATGACGATGATGAAGGGTGCCATAAAATAATTTTATAATTAATGCAGGTCATGTTGAATCAGACCAATGATCGTATGTCTTGCATTTTTTCCCTTATCACATTAGTTTGATGCGTTGATCGAGAGGATGACAGGACGAGAAATGCTTGTGATGTACGCGCAACTACGAGGTGTTGCTCCTGACAAAATCGATGAGGTCGTATCAGCTACCATTGATCATTTAAGTCTTGGAAAATGGGCCGACAAGTTGTGCGGAAATTACAGGTATTGATAATTATGTAGTAATTCTAATGTAGTAAGGGATTTTAGGGAGTGTAGTAATTCTGTATTAATTACTGTATTAAGTGCTTCCCTGAGGGAGATTAATGCCAATTTTTATTGGGGTATAATTTACGTTCATTTGTGCTCTTTCGTGTACTTGTTTCCTTCTCTCCGCTTCTTTTTCTTCCCGTTATTCCTCAGTTATACCTTCCCTCGGTTATACCTTCCCTCCTTGACCTCTACGCACCCTTTTCCACCCTACATTTTTTCTCTCATAAATTATCTCTTCATTAATTGTTAGCCATAAAATAAGTAGTTAATTGTGATGATTGCCAATCCATTAACTAACTCCTAGTATTTATATCTGTGGTTTTGTAGTGGTGGCAATAAACGCAAACTCAGCACCGCCATAGCGTTAGTTGGCAATCCCCCCATTGTATTCCTGGTAAGTTATAGATGTAATTAGTATTTGACCGACCGCATACCAGGTTATATATTTGATATAGAGCAGTTTTCGTATGACTGTAAAAAGCTCACGGCACGAACACGGTCATTGCACGGCAAGGCATATACCAGTCCAGTCACGTTACGCGATAATTTACTCTCCATCCAATCAAATGCCCGAAACACGGCATTAACAATGCGCGGACATGGTCACGCTAAGGTCACGGCACTGTCGGACCAATCACATTGCACGAGAAAAACATTTCCCTAATCAAAATTCCAAAAAAATAAAAAAATAAAAGATCCGGTCGCAGCAAGGCACGTATGCGGCATCGCCGACTTTTTCACAGTCATACGAAAATTGCTATATAACAAAACTTCGTATATACCGTAAATGACCTATTAGACGCCCAGTGCGTCTATTACATTTTCGTAACGAAAGGGGGGCGTTTAATAGATAAGAGGCGTTTATTAGAGAGGGGCGTTTATATCAATCTTTAAAAACTGAAAATAACAACGCAGAAATATGCCCAAAATGTAAGAACAGCAACGAGAAATGTTTAATAACAGATTGATTCAATGTCAACATCGGAATCGCCCTGGTCAATGAAGCATTCATTCTCTTCATTTGCTTCATCGATGTCCGAGTCTGTAATGTCACTAAAAGGGTGTGGGTGTTCGTGTTCGTCTACCACAGAAAGCTGCATCTTGAGTTGCCCCAATCCTCAATTGTTCCTGGGTAGTATTATGCAAGGACAAATCAACGAAAGATTGCTGACATTCTTAGCAGGGAGATAAAAGCTATCAGAGAGCGATACCCGTACTTTGAGCTCGAAATAGAGCAAGATATGAGTAGAAAACCAATATTGATTAAGCAAGAAACTGAATAAATTAATGTTCATTTACCGTTTGTCTTTCTATTGCTTGTACTTGACTAACCTTTTGAGGGGGCGTCTATTAGATACGGGGCGTTTATTAGAGAGGGGCCTTTAATAAATATTTGAACGATTAGAGGGGGCGTCTATTAGATAAGGGGCCTTTATTAGAGAGTGCACGTCTAATAGGTCATTTACGGTACCTGGCATGATATTTGTGCAAACATTCCGCCCTGGAATTTTTCAATATCTGTTATTGCATTTGAGCCGCGCAATGAGAAATTCTTTTGTTTTAAGAATCATACGAGTGAGGCTATCGGGCCGATACAATGCTTGTTGTCTCATTTGCATTTCATTTGCATGCCTCCATAATAACTGCTGTTGATTAGATTCAAACGTCTGTTTTTAGGATGAGCCTACGAGTGGTATGGATCCTGTTGCTCGTCGTTTCCTGTGGGATTCTTTGACCAGCGTTATGAAGGGCGGCCGTTCAATTATACTAACGTCACACAGGTATGTTGTATTCATCACACAAGCCTTAAAAAGCACGGACCAAAGTCCTCAGTAGCTCAGTATTGTTATTTTGTTTTGTTAGCATGGAGGAATGTGAAGCTCTTTGTACTCGTCTGGCCATCATGGTCAATGGTCAGTTCAAGTGTATTGGCAGCCCTCAGCATCTCAAGAGCAGGTAAATCAAAGAGAAAAAGAATTCTGGTGTTTTCAACTCTGGGCTTTTCGGCTTTTATCCCCTTAAAATTTATTTTTTGAAAGGAGAGCGATCTTGGGTCCTCCTAGACATAGATCTTTCATTCCATATATCTTTTCTGTGATAGCGATTACAGTGCATTGTGGTCTAGTTTTGGTACAGACATCTTTTGTTTATGCCTTATATGCTGGATCTTGTTCATCGAACTCAAAAAGACATGTTAATACGTCGTCTACATTCGTGGTTTATCTTGGGTTTAGCGATAATTATTCTCGCAAGTGAATTCACCATCTTCCATACATCGGTTCACTGGTCAAACACAAAGCGCTCAAGCGAGGCGCCAAGGTACTTCCAAAGGATTATTCAAATTTGAACCTTGCTACCTCGACTGAATGCTTTGTGTTTGACCAATGAACCGATGTAAGGAAAATGGTAAATGTAAGGTAAATTCTGGGCTCTCGGTTTTGAGTCTGTTTATTGTTATCTTCTATATTAGATTCGGCTATGGTTACTCTCTCATGATCAAAGTCAAAGGGGATATAAACACTAATGGATCCATAGCGACGGCTTCTGAAGTCATCCCACAAGTACCTTCAGTACCTTCAGCTGCTTATACCAATCCTGTAGCAACACAGGGTCTTCCTAGTGTCCATGGACCTGGACATCCTCCATATAATGCAGGTAATAATGTAACTCTTAGAGTGCATCCCTTAATTCCTATGTGAATAATACCAATCCTGTAGCAACACAGGGTCTTCCTAGTGTCCATGGACCTGGACATCCTCCATATAATGAAGGTAATAATGTTACAATGAATACACTAAGACGACCTTCGTTAAAGTAATGAATGATATTTATAACCATATGTATGACCAAGCACGTGACTTTTGGGGTATTACACTCCGATTCGTTGAATTGCGCAGACGAAGCCGAAAGCCGTTTTTCACTTTTCACGGAATCGGAGTTCATACGTGACATGGCAAGTGAAAACCGCTCATCATAAGTGTGAGCGCAAGCCAAGGAAAAGGAAACCTTCCAATCCTTTCGATTCCACTCCTGACGCGCTTGTGACTCTGATTCCGACTCCGTCGTAAGTGAAAACCAAGCTTAGACCAGGCTTAAAGCTGTGACTTGGCGATACCTTTACTTATGGGTGGAGTACATGAATAAAAGGTTATAGATAACTCTGCATTAGCCTTCAATGTTGACCCAAGCGGACAGTAGGTCGGCAAGAGTCCCTCTTCCCTATGCATTTGAATATCCAGACACAAATATTCACGTGCATATCGTTCTGTTTGTATTCTTCTATTTCAAGTCGCCAATCAAAATCCTCCAGCCAATGGTGATGTTGCATACCTACCTCCCCCACCTCCAGTAGCTCCTCCCAACCTGGAAACAATCATGCTACAACCTCCTGCTGTATACTATGACAATGGTCTAATGGAGGCCGTTCAGAAAGCACAAGCCTTTATTGACCAAGCGTTCCCAGGAGCTACCTTAATGGAGTCTCATAACGTAAGTCAACAAGAACAACAACGTGCTTTATTTGTACCTCAGATTACAATAAGGAGAAAATATAAATATAAGTATATTTATTTAGTCACTAAATTCCAAGCCTTTAGAACCGAATCGTCACTATATAGAGCTTCTTTCATAAATAGAATGAGGAACGATAAGAACTATCGTATCCCCTTTAATTGATGGTTTTCACAGCCGCGATGTTGGATGAATTTAACAACAGATTCGTCATTAGTCAATTTTGTTATATCATCCAACATGGCCGCCGTTTCTTTCGTTATTTTATTCTTCTGAGTATGATTGAAAACCAGCAGTGATGTATAAGAGAAAAAAATTATATTCAATGACACAATTTGATGATATTAGGGTAATTCCCGAATACAGTGAAATCTTTTTTTCCTTAGTTTTGTAGTGTAGTAATCTTTCACTTGCTATTTCACTTGAAGGGCATGTTGACGTACCAAATCGTTAACGAAGACCTGACATGGTCACAAATATTTGGTCAACTTGAAAGAAATCGAGAAAGTCTCAACATTATTGACTACAGTGTTAGCCAAACCACTCTTGAACAGGTAAGTCAGTCAGGTAAACTATATAATCTATCACCCTATCACCCGCTCTATGTACGTGTGAAGAACATGTACGCAACTGGCTAAAGGCTGCACTAGGAAAATCTAATATGGGGACTGCCGAAGTGGTTTACCCCCCAAAGCGCAAAGCATTATTGGACATGAGAAGGTAGAGAATAAAATCCCTAAAGCTACTGTTTTTCATGATGGTATGGGTAGGCTTAGCTAGCCTGTGCAGTAGCTCTCTGTTTAACTCGGCCGACGCGCAGGCTAAGGTACCTTGCATATACGGTAAAATATCGTATCAACATTGAGTATGAAAGGGGGACGGGCACGCGCGGTTTGGCGCGAATGAAGATCCTGCTTAAACTCACTCACGTGATTCTTATAACATTTTTCAATCTTATTCTTTTCTAGGTGTTTATAAATTTCGCCAAACACCAACATTCTGAGGAAAGGACCAAAGTGAAAAAGTGTCGTTGTTTTCCTTGTTAAATAGAAGTTCTTCAGCCATTATTATTGTTATATATATTCAATTTTTAGGTAAGATTTGTACTTCGCACACGTAATCAAAGGCACTTCTATCATCATACAGTCAATTCAAAAAACGTTGTCGTTGACCGACTCAAGCCTACGGGACTGGACCGCAAGCGAATATGGGTAAAAATCACTGAAGCGGTTAAATATCACAATATTCATTCTGAATTAATTGTCCCGCTAGTAGTAAAGATAATAATGGTGAGAAACAATCCATCAAATGCATGTCTTCGGGTTTAGGGAAAGAAAAACAAAGTAGTTATGATTCAGTTCACAATTTCGAAAATATGAAGGCATTTAAAAAACGTTTCCTTTAACACTTCCCGCTCGCCTACGAAGGTTCGTGCTGTAAACCAGGCATAACTAGTCGAATAAAATTACTGCAGTCAACTCGGCTTTAATGATTGCTGCCCAGAGTTCCTTTAGGTTCAGTCGCGTAGGCTTGAGATGGTCGACGACAACGTTTTTTGAATTGACTGTATACCCTCACTAATCTCACTGACAGGAATCGGCATTGATCAAAACACTTTCTTTAAACTGTTTCATGAAAGCTTTTTAGATAAAATTTGTCAAGCTGACGACATAAGTGTCTCAAGGAAAGTATCTCGAGGCGCAAGTTTAAAGTTACACAGGTAAAGAGTAGTTGTATTTTTCGCGCAACCTTTTCACCAGGAAATTTCACGAGGCGAGATGTTATACGGTAAAACTCTTCTCCTTTTCTCCCGAAGGTGCCTAGCCAGGACCTATTGTATACTACGTCCCATATAGGGAGCGTTTTTTTAATTTATTCGATTAAGTAGTAAGCTTTTTTATCGCTTTATGCTGCGAAAATTACTAGAAGGAAACAGTAATTTTGAATATGTGAGAATAAGAAAAAACTTTGTAATAAACTTCATCCGCGTCCTAAAAATTCGCCTTCTGTGCGAAGGCCTAGAAAATATTTATTTTCAGATTAGAGGTGTAGAAATATCACCCTAGCCTTACATTATATTTATTCAGTGTATATTATAGCACAAAGCTTGCCATCATTTTTTCAAAAGAATTCATTAAAAATCATTAAGTACTTATTTAACGCTTTCATAAAAAAGTAGTTTTAATCGTACACTTTTTAAAAATACCTTAACTACTATTTTCATAAATGATGAAATTTGTTTTTTCGCTTCCATCAATCAAGCCTAATATTCATGTATTACCTTTCACATTTTTGACTACTGGCGGCAGCAAAAAACCAATTACAGAGTGCAACTCGTAGCTACAGAGTTCACGTGTTTATGGAAATAGCGGTAAAATAGTCTGGTTTCTGGTCTCTAGCTTTTTGGAGAAAGGGCCGGCTAGAGAACTGATTTAAGGTACGAACCCCAATATCTGATAAAGTATAGTTAGGTTTCAATGGAAAGGCCTGGACAAAAAGTGTAACTGTTGCCCGCTCCTTGCGCGCATCGAAGTTTAGAGGGATGTCTAAAATGGAGGTGGAACGTTACTCAATCCTGGCCACTGGTATATCAAAATTTTTAGAGGTCGTATTCAAACGATGAAAAAAGTCAGTGGACACGGACCAATTTCTGGATTTCGTTCAGCCACGTGTCCTGCAGTCACACTTCGTGTCCAGGCATTGATTTCACTTCCTCGTTCGAGTACTCGTATGTAATTATATAACTTATAGTATTTATGACACACCGGCGAAGTGAAATCACTGTTGTTGCTGGCAATAACAAATATGAATGTGTTAGATGTAGTTTACTTCTGTAGGAAACTTATGACTGAAAAGCACTGAGCAGAGCCTTTGTATGAAAACCAAGTGTTCATGTGTAAATCGAAATAAAATCACTTCCCTTATGTGTTTATTTTTTCTAGTTATTTCATTTAGCTAGGGTACATCACGAGGTACAATGTTGCGTTTAGAGGTAGCAAACACAGTGCATTGTGGTCTAGCTTCGGTACAAACATATTTTGTTGATCATGCCCTATATGGTGTTGTTTATACCCAAGCTAGTCCATAATGCATCTTGTTAATCGAACTCAAATTAAGTGTCATTTTATTTTCTAATTAATTAATTTTTATTTTCTCAAATTAGAGTGAAGGCATTTAACCCATGAAATAAAAAATACTAGTCAACGTGTAATAGTCAAATAGACACGAAAGAAGACAATGGAATTAAGGTATACTAAAGTGCATGTGTTAGTCTAATATCTATTTCACGGGTTTAAGAGTGACTGTCTGTAACGATCAAGCAAAATTCAAAATCCGTGGCAAACTTCAAAAAATCGATTTCGCTCATACTTTCAAGTTAGTTAGGGTAATGTATCCTAAGAATCGCTGTATAGTTGGTTTGATCAAATAACGCTTTATTATGGAGAA